TCCATTACCGAGATACAGGGCGCTCATATTATAAGGTAAGGTTATAAAAACCATCTTTTAAGATCATTTTAGTGAAAGTTTCATCCTTCAAGGCGTACCATTCACTGCTCAAATACTAAACAACCTGCTTCCATTGCCGAAATACAGGGCGCTCATATTATAAGGTAAGGTTATAAAACCACCTTTTAAGATCATTTTAGTGAAAGTTTCATGTTCCTATCTCATAGAATTTAAGAACAATGATGAATAAATCATTTTCGAGCAAAATTTAAATGGCCAGCTGAATATATTACCGCCGGAGACGCGGCCGCGGAATTTAAATGACCGCGCCAAAGGGTTAAGAGAGACTTAACAGAAGGGAGTGTAAGGATGTGGAATGAATTTAGTACTCTCAGGATAGGATTCAGCAGCAGGATTTAGTGGAAATGATAAGCTTTTAGATCATTCGTAAAACCTGAAGAACTTCTTGACAAGGTGAATGACTATCAGCCTCTTAAGAATGACTCACTTCATGGAGTTCATTAGTGAATCGCTTTTTTTTATAAACCTCCACACATTTATATAGATGGCACATTATGCCTTTTATAGGAGGGGGGCACAGTTGACTGGTTAGTTTATCTTGATACTGGCTGATAGTTACTGGTCTATTTTATCAATACCTAAATCCTTTACAAATTCCTTTCATGCATCTTTCTTCTCCTACTCAGTAGCACAAACTACATGCCGAGTTCTCTTTATCTGTATATGCTAATAATCCTCTTCTTTTATCTGTACTTCATTTTATCATGAACTACATTCCTTAAAAGTAACTTTTAAGTATTTCCTTCCTTGCTTATTGGCACATACTGTGCCCTGAGATTTTCCGGTACATTCATCCTCTTCAGACGTAGATCCTAATTATTCTCTTTCTTTATCAGTAGTTACTAATTTTGTTTCATAATGACCTACATTATTTACAAGTTCTTTGTTGGCATCTTTCTTTTCTTATGCTGCTACATAAACACCAGTATGTGATATAACAGTGGTTTCCATATCTATTCTTTATTCACTTATCTGTAATTGCTGTTCTGTTTCATCATAACCCACTTACCTTGGAAGTTCCTTTCAACAGAATGTATCATACCATAATTTTCCCCATTATGTTCTTCCATCTCTTCAGCTCAGATTCTAACATTCACGTTCTTTTACTTATAATTACTATTTCTGCTTTATCACCATCCATATTTCTTACAAGTTATATCCTTTTATCAGACCACACTATATTATGCACTTCTGTATTATGTTTTCACTCTCTCTCGCTTCAGCTCAGATTCTAACACTCCTGTTCTTTTATTTATAGTTGTCAGCTCCAGTTTATCATAAACCACTTTCATTTCACGTTTCACATTTCTCTTCAGTACCTTAAATTCCTTGTGTTACTTCTTGTTCACGAGTGTATAATAAACATCAGGTTTTCTCAATCTGTTCTTTTTCCTCTTTAACTACAGATTATATGAATTATGTTCTAATACAGATAGTTAATGTTTCTGTATTATTATGCATATGTTGTGGATGCTGTGGAGAGGATACAAATCTATGCCTCTGCCCTGATTCACCAGTCGCCCAGCCTGCAGCCCAATAACTACATTGACTGAGCTATTCTGGTTTGATGATGATACTAATAAAAAACCATATGCAAATACTGATCCTTCAGCATTCTTTACCCCTTTCTTCCTAATTACCTCATCTGACCCAATGACTTTTTCCAATCTTCTTTCTATAACTACAGCCTATGTGCCACTATCACCTGTCTTCCAAACCCAGACAGGAGCAATGCACACACAGTCATGAAACACATCAAATACATTCACAAAGAACTGCCAGAGTCTGCAGAGGAACCCTGACCTGCTGAGATGCTGTTTAGGAAGGTTGGGTACTGCTTCAGGATTCCCCACCAATGCCCCTCGATCAGCCATCAGGTATGCCAAGTGACGCCGACGATGAGTTTCCATTACCATATCGTTAAGTGAAGCTGCCACCATAAAAGAAACCTAAACAGCAAAAACAAAAGGAATATCAATGCAAACTGACAACAAAAGAGTGAGCATTTTTAGAATGATATGAGAAATCTGTGGGTGAGAAAATATAACTACCTAAATACATGGTAGAGTACCCACAAAGCCCAATTCATATGTCGAGTTGTTCTTAAGTTGAAACACAGTGATTAGTGTGATTAGTGATTAGTAGCAGTTGGGCATCTAAGCTTATGAACAAGGACACTTTAACCTACAATACTATATGTTGTTTATCTTAGGAATTAATATTTATGAGTACATTATACATCCACAGACAAATAAGCAAAAAAGTAAGTAAGTATGAATAAAAAGGAACTGTTCTTAGATAAAGATAAAGGTAAAGTTGTCCTCATGCTTAACTAACTAAGCACCATGCCATGAAGGCGTATGGGGGAGTGAATGTATAGATCCACATTTTCTTGGCCTCGGCACTAGCTGGAGGTGAGTGGTTAGCTTCACATACATGCCGCTTTACCCCAGGGAAAGTGCCTCCGGTACCCATTAGACAGGAGGCTGGGTGGGCCCCAGAGCCAGTCTGGACAATACAGAGAAGAGAAAATTCTGACCCTACCAGGACTCGAACTTCAACCCCTTGGTCGCCCAGCCCATAGGCAGTAGCTACACCAACTGCACTACTCTGGCTCGGAACTGTTCTTACACCATTCATAAGTCAAGCAGTTGTACGTTGCAGATCATGTGTACTTGCATATCCCAAATATAGAGTGCTATAACTTCCACTGAAAAACATTCTTACATCTAACAGATGATCGACATCTTCAATGTCACCCGGTATGTCAGACAGGGCATTAAAAATCTCAGCTGAATTCTCCAGCTGCCTGAGATCTGGTTCTGAAAACAAAATTTCACAAATTAATTTAACTGACTAACTAGCTAACTTCATGGAGCAGGGGGAAAAAAAAACCACACACACACAAAGAAACTCATTAGCTAATTAGTATTCTAGGCAATTTTTAAAATTTAAATACTTTTCTAAACCTTATATTAATCATCATTCAGTACATGGGCCCATGGAGGGGAGAGGGAGCATGACAAAGGAAAACAAATAATCCAAAATGATCTTACTTCTAGATCACACATATATCATATCATGAAACACTCATACTGACATTCATCCCAACCAATTTTAAGGATCTGGCCCAAAGCCCTATTTCATTCATAACAAACTCTCTCTTTAAGCTACCCTCTCACTTATCCTCCAAATTATCCTTTTTGCTTGTAGGTCACAATTCAAAACCTTTTTTTGGACATAATTTTCTTCCATCCCTTTAACATTGAGCCAAGCATGGACCGGCTCGCATAATGAGTGACGTCATGGCTTCCAGCCATATCTTCCGCGCTACCCTTTCTTTCACAATCCTAAGCTCACCCCTTCCTTCTCCCCTGACGACCACGTGATTTCCCCTTCCATTTCTACCCGTGTCTCGGGAGAAAGTATGTTGGGGAGTAAGGTTGGAGTCTGATAAGTGGATCCACTTGGGTAAGCACATCTGGTGGACCAGCCAGGGATATTTTCTACATTTCAGTTCAGAGGGGTCTTGATCCAAAATTGCGTTTCGGCATACTCTGGGTATGGCTACAGACGTGGGGGTTTACAGTTGCCAGCTATCGGGGGGATGGCATGGTGGCAATACGAGAGTTAGTTTTTTTTTATATAAATAGATATATTATTTTCTTGAGGCCACCTGTGACTGAGGTTTGCTTTGCCTGTATTATATAGACATGTAATTTCTTGATGCCACCTGTGGCGGACTAGTTCAGTTTAGTTATTCTATGTATTTGTCTTGGTGCTGCATGTGGCTAGGAAGGAAGTGACCTTGTATTCAAATGCCACTGGGCCAGTGAAACTGGGCAGGTTGTTGAGCTGATGCCGCAAGGTGCGCAGCCAGGTTTATTCTGTCTATATATTTTTCGTGTATTTTTGTCATAACTTATTTTGTGTTTATTAAACATTGTTATTGTTATTTTTGGGTCTGTCACTGACTTCAATAATGATTCACCGCTGCGAGCTTGGTTTCCCACGACGATCTTAGGGAGCATTGTAAACACGACGCGAGGGCCAGTGATGACGAACAGCTCCTGACTTCACCAACGCTTGGTGGTGGTAGGGTGAAGATGGGAGGAGTATTGGTTCAACATGTTTCTACCAATTTCAGGTACCATGTGGCTTGCCTCATCAGGAAATTGATGGCAGTACAAATACCACTGCAAATTTTATAAATTTGTTTTACACAATTTTATTTGAATATCCTGAACACTTATTCTCCAGCCCAAGCATACATATAACATGGCTTGCCTCACCAGGAAACCGACTGTAATACAAGTACCATCATGAAAGTTAAAAATCCATGGTAAAAAAGCTATATGCAATATCGATATAAAATTGTTTTTGTTTCACATCTTAAAGCTTGCAATTCTATGGTTCAATGTACAAATCTCTACATAATAACATTATGAAGTAGCTGGGTGCTGCATTTACTGCATCTCAGTATGTATACTGTCTCTCTCTGACAATAAATACCCCCTCCCATTTGAACTGTTCTTCTGATGAAACACAAGTCACAGATCAAGGAGGGGAAAAATACTGTTCTAAAAATATTTTGCCATATCCACATGACAAAGTCTCAGTTTATTTCACAGTGCAGTCCATATGAGATGGATAGTCCTAGGATAAGTAAAGCAGTGAGCTTGGTTAGCATTGCTGTTATATTACTCAATACAGTATCACTGAAAAAGTGAATGATACAGATTATAATAAATTCAAAATCACAGCAGGCATGAATGCACTAATGGTTCAACACATACCAAATGAAGCTGAATGCCTTGAACAGCCTAAAAATATTTATGAGGAAACAAGGTAACTCCACCTCCTCAAACACAACCAGAAAGAGGGAAGAATGGAAATGTGCAGCATCTAGAGATAAAACTTGTGCAGAACTAGAATGGACAGAAAGTATAGCTCCAGTAAATAGTCCAGAATTTTCTGATCTCCTCAGAATAAATTCAATCTCAGGAATCACAGAAGATAGTTTCTTCTTTGAATACACCTGCCTTGTTTCAATAAAAAAAAAATTAAATTGTTTGTAACTAAATGAAAAGAAAAGTGAAAGTGCACAAAAAAGGGAGGGGGGGATGCCCACTGAAACAAAAATTGGTGTTTGCTCTATGGAAAGACTTAACTGTGCATGAAATTAAACTGTTATTGACATCAGTTACACATGTGTGTCATGTGCAAACCTCTCCTATGGGACTACTGGAGAAAAAGATCTAATTGTAAAAAGTAGTTATATGAAATCAACCAGCATGCCACTTGAGTCATGGCCATCTTAACAATGCTTCATGCAAACAATGAAAACTGTAACCCAGGGGCAAATCAGGTTATGATCCTCTGGATAAGATTTGTCCCATTCCCAATAAAGCGAAACAAAAATTCCATAAGTACACATGACAAAAAATATGACAACGGATGAAGCAATTTGTGCATTCTGAGTGCATGTACATTTCAGGGTATATATGAAAGGAAACCCCATAAATATGGGATATAAATATTTGAACTCTGTGGAGCAAAGGGGGGTTACTCATACAACATCGAAGTTTTTTGACTAACTGGGGGCACTATAAATGAAAACTCATCAAACAGGAAGATGGTGTGGCCCAAACATATTCTGGATGCAGTATGATGGAAGAAGTTCCTGCCTCTGCTCACCCATCCCACAGAGAGTCACTTCATTGACTTAACTGATTGAACTCACATTTATTTTATGTCATCATCAGCCTTAATTTGTAAATATGATACACAGTATATTATGTTAACCTTTAAGTGCTGAAGTGCCCCGTTTGTGCCAGTGATGAGTATGGTCATCGTGGCCAAAGTACCCCGTTTTGGCCAGTCGGGCATTTAAACTCCACTATTGGAAGCGCGCGCACACGCCGCTAGTAGAAGCGCGTGCACAGTCCTAAATATTTATTTTTAAATGTAGTAATTACCAGTCCGACTTGAGTAAAACCTTAATAGAGGAATTAAAATGATACCTAAGTGAACAACAACAAAAAGAGTATACGTATGAGTTATGCCTAAACTCATCCACGAGCCGGTACTTTTATTGCAGATTCTGCAGATTAATGTGTTAAAAATATATAGTAAAATTCGATGTACATACCTTTTTTTGTTGCTATCTGCTTGATGTATATATAGGCTGAAATGAAACTACAGTATTCAATTTCACCAAGAACGCACAGAAAACAGACCGCACTCTGAATCTCAGCCACGATGCAGCTGACTGTTCACACCCACAGAAAGGACAATAAGCTTTTGCAGCTATAACAGAAGGTCTTAGCACTGAAGAAGGGACCCCTCTAGCTATTTCTTGAACAGTCATGCTTTCATTCTTCTCATTTAGTCAAAAGATTCAAAAATCTGAAGAGGGTAACAAAGATGTAAGGTTTTCCAGCAGAGAACCAAATGATTTTATTGCTTCCATCTGTTTCATGGCACCTGGGACTGCTAAAATTGCTAAGTGTTACAAACAGAAACGAATTTATAATGCAGAATAACTCTGTGAAGAACTTGGAAACCAATTTTGCAGTACACATTAAAATTAAAAGAAAAAAAAATTGAAAATAGCGTATAACATTTTGTATAAAATTTTTCAAATCTTCCGTTGTAATATACAACATTATGTTCTTTGCTGATACACACAAAGTTAATTCCATTCATTTATCACAAGAATTGAGTTAGATACAGCATTTTTAAACACAATGCTTAAAATTGTTTAAGCACCCTAATAGGAACGGACATTTAAACGCAGATTAGCAACGTGCATTTAAACGCGCACCAGCAGCGGGCATTTAAATAACCTCTGGCTAGCTCAAGCTTACCACCATTTCAAAAGCCTGGCATTTAAAGGTTAATGATGTTAGAATAATGACATTGATGTTTAACATACCTTTGATCTTAAGCATGCCGAGTGTAACTTGGAAAAGCACAATGGAGCCATCAAAGAAGAAAAGATCCCATATTCGCAAAAGTATTTTCATGTGAACAACAGATGCAAATAATGTAAGGAACCAATGCAGAGTGATGAGACTAAGCTCAATATCATGCTCTCTGAGTGTCACATCTACATCTGGAAGGTATTTGCAGATCATACTCCTCAGAACACGTTGATCTGCTTGTATCCCTACAACAAGAGGAAATTAATCATTACACTGACAGGTTACATTAAGTAAATTTTGACTGTGAGCAGATGGACATATGATTTTAATTATAAGCATTATTTGTTATAAGCAAGTTTGAAAAATGAGAATTAATTTTAATGTGATATACTGACGTACACCAGTTTCAGTTAAGAGTGCTTGCTTTAATGCAAATTACTTTCTGACCAATCATGAGAGGCCAGAAGAACTGTGAGTAGATTACTGTGTGGGTTTGCAGAGGAGGAATGTGAGGGGATATGGATAAACTATGATTTATGCAATTTTACCACCTGCAACTTCTTTTCAGAATGTAACTATCGCATAAATCGAAGAATACCTGTATTTGAGGGAAAATATTCAACCTGATGATGGAAGCAGACATTTGACCACTTGTGTGGGATGCTGGGATATAACATGGCAGAGGACAAAAATAATGAAATACAAAAATAGAAAAATACATGATGATCCAGGGAACAGACAGTGGCAGCAACTGGAAATGTAACAGTGACATAGGGAATGGGGCAAGGGGGCAGGACAGCACATGTAAAAAATGATGTAATAATGGCAGTGACAAAAGATGCTGAACCAGCAGGCAAGAGAAGGGACAGCAGGACAACAAGTGGGTCAACATTGAACTGTGAAGGTGTGGCAGTATTATTAAACATAAGATTTTAAATAGCAAGGGACTTAGAAATGATTAGGAAAAAAGAATTCCCTCTTTAATTTACTAAGATCTCAGGATGTATTTGGCACTGCATAAATGGAGACTTTTGTGGTCACCAGTTACCTTAATTATTTTAAAGGAAAATATAAAGTTGCAAAATATGACAGAAATACAGGGGGATTGGTGCTCTGTGTTGGAGATGATATCAAAAAGTTACAGAAATTCTGACCAGAATAAAAGGAAATGTATGTATCAGTATTAGAGACCAGATAAATTATTGATGGAAATAATATTTACAGGTTTCATTTACAACTCTCCACAAACCTTATGATGGTACAGGACTGATGGGCTTGCACCTTAAAGCATAATTTTACATTGTTAGGAGATATGTGGGGCAATGCAAGTAAACCAGCTACACAATAGGGACACTTTGAGAACATACAAAAAGAATATGTTAATCATTTTGGACATATGTCATGTAAAGATAAAGTAAACAAACAGAAGGAACTCGTTAAATTCTGTGACAGAACAACTTCTCAAATATGATATACAAAATTCAGAGCAAAGAGTCAACATACTTTTGTTAGCCATGTTGAAAAATTTTTACTAATTATGTTTTAATTATATATGGTATCTTAAGCAAGTTTAGGACAGGAAATGAAATTACTAGTAGTCACATGCAATTGTTAGCAGTACTGCAAATGAAGTAAAATTTGTAAGTGTGGAATTACACTGTTTCTGTGAAAGGGTTGGATTAATAATGCTGTAAATATACTGTATTTCATGATAAAGAGTGCTGGAGACAACATGTGGCATGTGGCGAGGGGGGAAGTACAGAAAGCAGGAGCACTAATTTGATGGATGGGTGAGAAAGGAGAGGGAAATGAAAGGGGCTTTAAGGAAATTTGAAGAATAAGATAATGAATGTAGAATAAAGTACTGAGAAATCAGAAAGATGTATGAAAGAACTGTGCAGAATAAGAGAAGTATATGGTAGGAAAAGGAAGCAGAACAGATCAATAACTTAGATAACAGATGGAAGTTTAGAAAATATAGGAAGCTATAAGGAATACTGCAAAGGGCAGGGAGGAGGGATTACTGTAAAACTATGAGGGAATGTCAGAAATTATCAGCACTTTCGCCGTAACACATCTTTAGGTTTGTCACATTGCCTTCTATGCATGCATGCTTAGAGTTGATACTATTGTGGTCATGTGATCGAATTTTGACCTTGATTGCATCATTTTCCTTGATGCTGTGACAGTGTAAACATGGCCGCTTTGCTAGCAGTGTGCACCAAAGAGGAACAAAGAACAGCGATCCGATGTCTCTGGTTGGAAGGTGTGTCAGGGGCTAAAATTGATCGGAGGCTTTCAACACAATACGAGGACAGTGCTCTACCGCGTAGAAGTTCATCCAATCCGATCAGCCAACCCAGTTTGGATATTTCTCCCATATGGATTCCCCTCATCAATGAAGAGGTTAACAAATCAAAAGTGTAAGTTTTTATGAATATTAGTGGCTTCTACTACTTCTGCAAGTTTTGCTCCAGGGATTATTCTCATTCCCGGAAGTTGCCCTGGTGGCACGATTCTTTATTCACACAGATTAGGAATGAATTATCCAAGTTTTTACTTTGGTTTTTAACTTAATTCCTCGAATTTTATCTATACTTCTGCTTTTTACATTGTTGACATGTGCATGCTTGGCACAAATTTTCTATCATGTCTTTTACTGTGATTTTATTCTTATCTCCCACTGATGGAACCGGTTGTCGGTTGTTCATAGGTTGTTTTCTACAGACTGGGATTTGTCCAGGAATTGAGACTAGCTCTTTCTAACGGGCCCAACTGAGTAGGTTTATCCTCCCCTACCCACCTGAAAACGGAGACAGATCCAGTCTCCGAAACGTCTTGGTCTTTTTTTTTTTTTTTGTCTTTTACATACCAGACGATGGATGAAGTCCAAAATAAGCCAAAAGAAGTACAGTATACACCATCGTCAGAATCCTTTCAAGTCTACCAGTGATTTGCTGGCCAACAATTCGCACCAAATGCCGAGGCCTACTGTCAAAGAAAGTGTTGTTGTTGCATGACAATACACAGACACACATGGCCGGCCAGACCATTGAAACCATTAACCATATGTGTTTTGAGGTGCTGGAACACCCTGCCTACAACCCAGATCTCGCCCCTTCTGACTATCATCTCTTTGGACCGCTCAAAGATGCTTTATGAGGTCGTCAATTTGCTATGGACAAAGAAGTGCAGGAAGCGGTGCATAAATGGTTGCGAGACCAACAGAAAACCTTCTTCTTGGAGGGAATACGCAAGCTTGTGGACCGCTGGACCAAGTGCATTGAAAAAGGAGACTATGTACAAAAATGACCTACTTGTTCAACCCCTACTTTTGTGTATATAAATTGGAAAAACAAGAGTGGGGATAATATTTGACTTCCCTACGTATTTGAATGCATAAGGTCTTTTTATGAATTCTATGCCAAAAATACTGGGAGTTAGGCTTTCATATCCGGGGCAATGATTTCCTAGACATTGCTGCCTAGGAATTGCTAGCCGCTGACTAGTGATGGACGACTTATAGTCTGGCTTTCAGGCAGCACGTCACAATACTAATATTTAAGAAGGGAACTAGAATGAAGAAAAATTGACAGCTGGACTACATATGACCAAACAATATAAGTGGCTGATGAAATAAATTATTTAGGAGTAGCAATGGAAAACACAGGATGGAATACATTAAAGATCAAAATAACAGTAAAAGATAACCAAGCTCTAATACCTATAAATAAATGCTTAGTGAGAACACCTGACCTAAAGGTTATTTAATGACAATTTTAGTATATATATATGACATTGGACGATGGAATGACTGATGAATTGGAAATAATTTGGAAGGAATCAAGTTGTAGACCACTCAAGGTACTATCCCAGAGTTTGCCAGAAGACATTGTGGAAGATTGTAAGAAACCTCAGTCAGGATAGCAAGTATCATACCAGAAATTTGAACTAAGCACCTATTGAATACAAATCTATACCACTGCATCTGGTTTAGTCTGATACATGACTGAATATTTTGGAAAATTTACAAGGGAGTCGGTAAATAGGTCACAAATGTAAGTAAAACAGCTGTAATGGACATAATAGGTTTTCTATACATATCACTAGGTTGGAGCACAGTCCAGCTTCATGATTGTCTAGGTAGCGGACGTGCCAGCACATCTTCAGAGGCAGGTTTCAGTAGTCAAAAGGGGACCATGCTTGAGGAGTGTACTAACAAAGACCAGCTTTCTGCTGTGCATTTTCAGCAAACAGTGTGGCTAAACTGAAATTACAAAAACATAGTAGGAGAGCTAATATAATGTGCATGATGGTGAAATAAAATCTCTTTGGTACTTTAATGAGGTACAGAATTCTTGTGGTGCAAAGAGAATTATAGTGATGGTAATACACAAAATGAGAATTGGAATAGCATGACAGATTAGGGATATGAAAATTAAGAGGAATTATAAAGGATTTGAATTAGGAAGGTGTTCCCAATATCTGAGGGAGGAGGAAGTAAACATGCACTACTAAAATGGTTGGATTAGAAAAGTGGATAGGAAAATCTGTATGTAATAAATGATTGAGCACAAATGAGGATTTACCAAAAAAAAAAAAAAATCACTGAATAAATTCAACAAATACCTTAAAATACTAATTTAAAATAATGTGTAAATGGGAGAAAAAGTCAGTGAGAAACAACCCTTACAGATTATGGGGGAACAGAAATATAAAATCAGAAATGAATTGGAGAAAAGATTAAAGGTAGTGATAAATTGTAAAGTTGCCTCTGTGCTTAACTAATTAAACACTATGCCATGAAGACATATGGGAGAGTGGAAGTATAGTTCCAACACTCTTGACCTCAGCAGTAGCAGCAGTATAACAGACGAACAGACCCAGTGTTAATAGGAATACAGTATGTAAAGAATCGGAGTATTACAAGAATTCGGTATTATATGGTCACAGATCTAAGGTCAATGCAGCAAAACACAACTCAGTAAACTCAAACATGTTCATATTCATCACGGTTGATACCTTACTTACTTACTTACTCATGGAGCTGAGCCCTTCTGGAGAAGCCGCCAATTCTGTAGCTACTCAAGAATTTCCTAGCATTTTATGGAACCCAAAGGTTCATTACCGTGTTCACAAGAGCCCTCCACTGGTCCCTATCCTGAGCCACAGCTATCTAATCCATACCATCCCATCCTATCTCTCTAAGATCCATTCTACTATTGTCCACCCACCTACGCCTTGG